AATAGAATAAAATCAATTTTTATTAGGCAAGGCAATGCCGAACGCCTCCAGTAATGAGCACAGATGTATACACCTTTACAAAACTGTAGATAGTATAAGAATAAATCGTCTTAACAAAAATAATATGCAATTTAAAATTTTAACAAACAATAATAACAAACATAACACAAATAGGCAAATTGACATAAAATGTAAAAGCAAAACTTAACAAGAAAAAAAATTTAATACAATTTTGTATGACAAATGTATAGTACAATTTCGCGATATGTGGTATCGGTAGTACCGTAATAGTGATACAATCATGACTAGATTAATAGAGTAAGCCATGACTAATGAGTGAAAATGAGCTCAATGAATATCGCCTCGCTGTAACTCACCGATCACGAGAGACTTGAAGCGTGCCAGCGATGGAGCACCGTACAGCGTGTTAAACAGGTGTTTAAAATAAATGACCAAAATAGTTTGAGGATAGGAAATGAATATTTATTGTACTATGTACGCTTATTTTTATTATTTGGACCTTTATTTTTTATCTAAGGCTTCTGGGGCATATTCACATAAACTAACATAACAGAGCGTGTTTTCTAACTGTCCTGAATCACCAAAAAAAGTTTAGCCAAATCCATGACCCGGAGGTGAGAAGGTTTCCTTGTTAGTGATAACGAACGCGACTTTCATGCGTTTTTCATTCGTCGAAGGTCAAGAGTCAGCTATGATTTAAACGAAAAATGTAGTTCAGCGAATACCACGGCAAAGGAAAAAGTGTTTTTAGTTAATTACGTTATGTTATAATTGACCATCATGTATTGACTTGACTTGACAATATCGATATCCTCAAATAGAACAGTCTCATTATGGCATATTTAAATAGTATATTAAACATGTGTTTGTAAGCTTTCTTTCTTCACTTCATATGTGCGAATACTATTTTCATGAATCCCCCAGCAGAAATTAACTTTTTCGTTTCAGCCGCCAGGACGAAAAAGGTTAGTTTCGGCTGGGGTAGCATGAAAAAAAAAAACGTGTGGGTAGCAAGAATTATTCGATTTTTACAGCTACCCTGAGCAAGTTCTTGGTATATGATCATCAAATTTTTTATCAATGTATTAAAGGACTATTACCGGTTGAAAAAAAAGTAAAAAAACTATTTTTATTTTTTATTTTTTTCAGTTCGTTCATTATATATTTAAATTCCATTTATTGCTCTATGTTGAGGGTAGAAAAAAGTATTCAAAAACATTTGAATTATTTAGTTTTTTTTCTTGGAACACGCATTATCTTCGTAAAAAGTGATTTTTGAATGGTGGACAGTTAATCTCAGCATCTACTTAGCCGATCTTTACTATATTTTACACACTTCTTCATTAATGTGCGATAAATGGCAATATACCAAAAAAAAATCGACATTTCGATACCTCCTAGCAGCAAGAGTCCTGCAGTTCATGGAGCAGAGCAGCATCGTTTCAGTTCAGAATCTATTCGGCAACATGCTACTTCAGCGCTGCGTTCTGCAAGATGCCACTTGTTGAGTAAAAATAGTAATTTATTCGAAATAATATATGTGTAATAGCAAGATTCAGAAGCTGAGCCAAGTATACTAGAAGTATACTTTAACTATAAATAAATATTTAAAACTCATACAATATGTGACAAACAGGTATTACCTTTGAATGCTTTTTCTCTATTAAAATATTTTACTCACACAGAAGGGTAGAGAGAGACATATTGGTGATTGAGAATAGTATAATGTGTACGTACCCGATTTTTCGAGTTTTGCTCGACTTGTACTCGACTTGTACTCGACTTGTCGAGTTGGGAAAATTTGAGTACCCATCACACTCAAATTTTTTCGGGTACCCGACTTTGTTTCAAGGATTTGAGTTTTTCCGAGTACCTGCATTTTCTTTCTTATTGCGCTATCGTGTAACTATTTTATTATATTTATACTAGGGGGCGAGCCCCCCTGCGCGCTTCGCGCGCCAACCCCCCTCGTTTACAATTTCATATGAGTATATGTTTAATAATATAAAATTTTATATAATACTTCCATTGTACAGACGTTCTCATCCAGTTGAAAGATTAGCATTACACTTAGAAAATAAACAAAATTTAATTTTCCCTGAAAATGAAGAAGTATTGATGTCGGTTTACCAGCGTTACGTAAATGTGTTATTACGTAATCGAAATAGTAATTTTCGATACAAGTGCCATAAGTAACACTTTTTGGCACGGCGTAGTTTAGGGCCCGAGCGCAGCGAGGGTCCTAATAGCTGGGCCGAAAAGTGTCCCCTATGGCCCGAGTATCGAACAACATTTTATAGTACTGTGCAAAGTTCACATTTATGCCCCCTTTTCCGAGCCATGAGTTGCACTTTCTGGTAGCGCGAAGTGAGGTTAGCGCACGAGCGTATGCGAGTGTGATGCGAACGCAGCGGTGCCAGAATGTGCGACTTATGCCACCGAAAAGCGTGCCATAGATGTGAACTTATGCCACGCAGTGCTATAAATTAATTTTTGATCTAAATTCATTTTTTTGTATCTAAGAAGATATTCATTTTTATAAAATTCCAGTTGACTATTTAAATCTTCTTCATCAACAAGAGTTTTTAAAAAATCCAGATTCGGTGCTGGTAAACCGACATCAATACAGCTTAAATTTTCAAATTCTAAAATATCATTTATTTCTTTCAAAGCTCTGTTTTCATGATTATCTTTAAAACCTTCCAAAAAATATTTTTTATAAGTTTGCCAAACGTCTCGAATCATTGGTATATTGTTAATAATTATAAACCAAGGGAAAAATTTTCTAAGTTGTTTCGGCATCATTATTAAACAAGCTTCGTCAATATTTTTTTTATTTCTAGATCGCTATCTACTAATCCCATTGCAATCGCCGTTTCTCTAAATGTATCGTATTTAATACCCTTATAAGTTCTTAAATCGTCGAATGATTTGCAGCCTTTAGCTTTGTGTAAAATTAATTTTAAATAAAACCGTTCAACATCTTTTGGCACAACACTAACTATTCTTCCCAATGTATTTGAAAATTGTGATCTCCGTTCCCAAATTCAAAATTTTTTATTGTACTTATAGTCTTGTAAATTATTTACGTACGTGAATTTTCTAGCATGAACATCATTTTTATTTAAATCAAACCACGCTGTTAAAGTAGTACCAGGCTTTTTGGCTGCTTCTACTTCTTCATTTTCAGGGAAAATTAAATTTTGTTTAATTTCTAAGTGTAATGCTAATCTTTCAACTGGATGAGAACGTCTGTACAATGGAAGAAACCAAAATAACCAAATTAACCATAATAATTTTTGGTTCTTGTACAAAAAATCAAAGTAACCATAATTATCACATTTATGACCCTATTATTTAAATTATTTTTGTACCAAATGAACGAAAGGTCACGTGACGTAATTATGTGATCGTCGCGTGATCGAAAGTTCAAAGTCACGTAATGTTAACGTATAGAAAGGTCAGTCACTTGATGATCGCGTTATAGAAAGGTCAGAGTCACGTGATGATCATGTGATGATCGAAAGGGGTCAAGGATCAAAGTCACCATAATAATCACCACCTGATCAAAAGGTCAAGGTGTCGTGATAATCACGTGATCAAAAAGTCAAATTCAAATATTTCGATCGAAAGGTCAAAGGTTCAAATGGTCAACATGGCAAAAGGTTACATGACCTCATTACGTGATCATCATGTGCCTCTGATCTTTCGATCACGTGGTGATCACGTTATGACGCATCGCATGATGAACGAATTATAACGCTCAAGGTTACGTTATCATCAAGCGGTTCGTTACTTAACGTAACGTTACTTAAGCACGTAATCGTCACGTGAACGAAAGGTTAAAATCACGTAATCAAAAAACCAAAATAACCATAATTATCACATTTATGACCCTATTATTTAAATTATTCTTGTACCAAAACGCGCAAGGTTACACTATAATAAAATGTTTAAAATGGCGAAAGGTAAAGAGGTCACGTGACGTAATCACGTGATCGTCACGTGATCGAAAGGTCAAAGTGACATAATCAAAAGGTCTGTCACTTGATGACATCGTTATAGAAAGGTCACATGACCTTTTGATCACGTGATCATCAAGTGATGACGTCATATGATCATTCGACCGAATCACGTGATCATCACGTGATGACGTCATGTGACTTTTCGACCGAATCACGTGATCATCGCGTAATGACGTCATATGACCATTCCACCGAATGGCGGCGATAATGACGTCATATGACCATTCCACCGAATGGCGGCGATAATGACGTCATATGACCATTCCACCGAATGGTGGCGATAATGACGTCATATGACCATTTCACCGAATGGCGGCGATATTATCTTATAATATAGAGAGATTTTCGATGTGTACTCGCGATGAAAATCCTATATTTACTCATGTATAACACACATAAATTGGGCTAATCATGAATAATAAAAATTATCTTCAGTTTACATAAATCATGTTGTAAAGATATGCGGCAAACATTGCTCTGATCAATTTTTTTTTTCTTCGTGCAGGTTTTATGGAATAAAGTTTCTAAACTCGAAAATAGTCGAGTACTCGAAAAAAACTCAGGTACCCAAAAAAGCTCGATTAGTCCTGAAAAATTCAGATATTCGAAAAAGCTTGAGTACAAAAAACAATCCATGATCTCAAAATTCGAGAACTCAACTCGAACTCGAAAAAAAATCTCAATCATGACGAGTTTTTTCGAGTACTTGAACACCCATAATAGAGAATGACGACAAAAAGTAAGAACCACTAAATGACAGGTAACACAGTCTGCGTTAAGCATTTGATTAGACAAAGAATAAACTCGTAAAATGCGTAGACACATCCGTCACTCAAAAAAGAGATTAAAAAATTGCAGACGCAAATCACTGCACTTATCTATAGCACGATTTTTTTATAAGTATCGAAGTTTATAGTCTGACGCTTGTATTTCATTACAGTTAAAACAGTGAAACCTGGCTAAGCTGCGATTGTTTGAATAGTTCATTTTAATACATATCGGAAGAAACTTACTTGAATAATATTTAATAAAATGAAATTCTGGTGCCTTTTCCTTTTTACTGCATTCGCATTGACTTCTACAGATGCTTTTACTCCTGATATTGGTAAGTGATTGCTATAGGCTTATGAAAACTATATAAAAACTAAAAAAAGTAAATATCTATGATTATACAATTTATGAAAAGTGCTAGGAAAAGTAAATTTTTACATTTTGTAAGATTAAGCAAAATAAAAGTTTCCAAAAATTTTGCACATGTTTAATACAATATATCGACTTCTTTTTCAAGTGAATAAAATCAAAGGACTAGCGACTAAAGTTGGTCAAGGAATAAAAGGTGTTTTGGACAATGGTAAAAAATTGGTCAATAAAGCCTTGCACGTTGAACCGAATGCGGAGGTTCAAGCATCCGCACAGCAGTCCACTAAACCAGAAAATCATCAATCTCAACCGTCCAATCAACAATCACAATCATTCAGTTCACAGTCTCAACAGGCTACTCAATCAGAACTAGGAAATCAACAACCTCAATCGGTTCAACAGCAGGTTATTCAGAGTTCGCTTCCTTCAGAAATTAATGAAGTCAATGAACAGTCTCAATCGGTTCCAACAGTTCAAGCTCAAGAAACTGTTTATCAATAAACAAAAAGAACAGATTAAAACATCCCGTAAAAGTTTTATAACATTTTTAATTTAAATAATAGCGTGCTAAAAATATAATCATAAGTATAAATGTATCATTGCAATTAAAACTTTGAATAAAATATTCCTTATTTACTTATAAAATATTAAAAATCTTATCAATCTTGAAACAATATGAGAAAAAAACTAAGTTAACTTTGCAAAATAAGTGTTGTAAGTACTTTGTTCTGATTATAGTTTTGCGTGTCAAAATCATAGATTCTCACTCGAGTATTTTTCGTTTACGAAACAGAGTTCAAAAAGTAAAGAAATATATAGCTAACGGGTTGTACGCATTATGTGTATGCTTGTGAGTAGAGCTTTACATGGTTCGAAAAAAGGGTGTATATGCTACAAACAGCAGCCTCGCGTGTGTACGTGTGCTTACACGAAGATGTGGGTGGGCAGCTGGTGTATTTGACGTTGATATTGCGATAAGATGAAAGAGAGTCGAAGCAAGCTAAAGCCGCTCCAGCCGATATATATGTATCTACACACAGTTTATATGTATACACGCGTATATATATAAAATTTCTACGACAAGAGCATTGGCAACTATACGACTACTATACATGGACGATGTATAAAGCTACGTGTATGCGAATATATATAGAGTGTCGTACTGCTTACATGTAGACGTAAACGCGAGCGCGATCTTATTTGGAGAGTCAAGCCAATATGCAACAAAAGAGCCGGCTCTTTTCTATAAAGCTGACGGCTGGCGGGGTAGCGTACACGTAAACGCTTTTCTTGCACAATGTATAAGGCTAGCGCGCTTGTAACGAGTTTTATATTATTATGCTTGCAATAATGTGCTTCTGGATCCTCTTGCTATATGCGTGTACGATTGCTCGCCGTTCGCGTGTGGTCTCAAGATTTTCGATTGAAAAATCTTGCCGGCTTTTGTCATCCGCGCAAGCTCACATTTGAATGATGAAATTTTTTAGGTCTTTCATTCGGTGGTCCCTAGAAAATAATCTAGCAATTATTTGATTTACGAAAAAACTTGAATTGAATTTCTCGTACCGACAAACGATCAAACGAAACAATCGCACTCTACGGCATCCGTCAAGTTTCTGAAAATTGAATTTTTCACGAAAAATATCTAAAAGTTTACAATTTAATTGCAGGATGGATGCTGCATCGATATTCGCGATGCTAACGTAAAAAACGACTTGTAAGAATAAAACTGGCGAGGGCTTCGCTCGTCAAAATTGGCGGAGAAATGCATATCCAAAATTGTTTCACGAACAGCAACAGCAGCAGCAGCAGCAGCAGCAGCAGCAGCGGTGGCGGTGGCGAAGACTAATTGAATAGCCTGCGGCTAAATGCAGAGCTGCGCACGTGTGTACAGCGTATGCTTACACCTACAGATACACACGCACAGAAGCGAACGATGTGGCAAGAGGATAATTCACTTATTCCAGCCCAATGGGTGATGCGTTAGCAGTGATTTTTACCCCCTGGGCCCGTTTACAGCAGCCATGTTTACAATCGACAGTTTCCGAAACAAGCTTGTCAGTGTCCCAGAGCAGGGGCTTTACACTATATGTATATGCGCGGCTAGAAAACGTAATTGAAGGATAGCTACGCTCGCAACGCATGCTTGTAAATTTTCCGCAATTTTTTCACCGATAATTTTGCCGTGAATATTGACTCTATTGTAACGTGAAACGAGCAGGAAAGTTACTGATGAAAAAGTCAGCTGAAAACGAATTTTTCAATTAGCAGTATGACACGAGAGAATGATGGATTTTGCTGTAGGATATGCAGACAAAGTTTCAAAGTATAATTAAAAATCATTTGAATGAAACGTCCATTTGAGGAAACGAGCTGAGTGACTGAAAGCCAAAGTCAACCGATCATTATGAACAAGATGCGAGAGATAATCGTGCGAAGCATCAATCGATCCTCGATAAATGGGCGAAAATTACATAGCTCTTTGCTCTCCCTTAGCCCTATAATAATAGCATATAACATTGTATAGGCTGAAGCTCGCGACACATCGCATCGCGTCGGGTATTAGATGAGAGGGCAGCTTACACGTGTAATGGCTCATGCTCTCGATGCATACGTACATGCACACACGTATAAATGAACGGGATGTTGCACATAATGCGTTATATCGTTTGCGTTGTGTCCCGCTGCCGACGTCGGCACGCGACCCGACCGCACGAGTATGCGCGCGCTTACTTCTGCCGATGACACGTTACCGTGTGTGTTTTTGATTGCGTCGAGCTAGTACGCACATACATGCATAAATGGGCTGAATCGCCATGGGCTAGTCGTACCAGTGTTCCTGCTACTGCCGACGACGAAGATGGATTGCCGCCCCATAAGCGCTAGAGTATTTATTATACATATTATTTGCTCCGAAGCTTATACTCATTTTACGAGGTCTTCAGGCGTATCTTGATCGCTTCACGCTCCGATGCCCACACGCAGTTTAGCTTCGTGTTGTGTGTACGTATGCGCGCCAAAAATACCCGCACTTTTGTACGCTGCGGCTTCTGCTCTTGCCTGATCGAAAATTTAGTGCTTGTGCATGCTGTAATATTCAAAGGATGAGTTAACTTATTTTAATGAAATTGAAAAAAATAACATGTTTTTTGGACGATGATAAGGCACTCACAGCCTTTTCCTTTAGACCCCCTTCACCTATCCTAGTTGCGAGTACAGGATTGGATGAAACTACAAAAAATCGTAAAGCGAACAAACGTTTAGGGACACGTTTTTTGTGCCTCGGTGGTTTTAACGTCATGCGATCGTGCTCACTTGTCAAATCCACGTTCCAAAGCTCAAAGAAAAGCCGACCTAAGTCTGTATCTTACATCTCTACGTATACATACACGACTGCATTCATGGTCGACTTTTTTTTAAAGTCACATGCAGTCACGAACGATTTTGGCACGCCACTTTTAAAAACTTTATGAGGAAGATATATAAGTGCATAATTGTAACAATACGTTGAATCCTCTCGAAGCATCTGGTTTTTTTCAATGCATACATTGAAATGCGCGCAAAAAAAATTTCCACTACATTATTCAGACAGTCGTCTCTTTCTTTCTATCTCTTTCTCTGATGTATATTTCTTGTTTACGTCTTTGTATAAAATACAATACCTGCTCGAGTGACTGAAATCTCGCTCTTTTGTAGGAATAATATGCAGGTTATGCTAATCAGGCGTACGCACGATGCGTACTAGTCGTAAAGCACAAAACGACGAAAGCTCTTAATTACCAGCCGAATCATGCCGAATCACCGAGTTACTTACCCTCTCTAAAATAGCTACTAATTGTTTAATTGCCCGAATAGACCAACGTTCGTAGCTATGTACGCTACAAACATACAGAACAGTGTATTGTGTTTGTGCCTTTTTCACGCTCGTAATCTAGCGTAAGGGATGATAATGCGACGAGTAAAAAAGCTTTCAACAACGTAAGAATAGGTAATTAATTGTACTAAGATATGAATAGGTATTTTAATAGGTGACAAATTACCTGATCCCTGTGAGCTCACAATGTTTGTTTTCGAATGCACACAATAAATGCTTGCGAATCTTTGTGTGTACAAAAGGATTGGAACATCTGCGTGGCAGCTCGTATCGCATATTTTGACGGGTGGCGAATCGCCGAGTTCTTTTTTTAAATTTATAATTATTTCATGCGCTGATATGTGCGCCTCTCAAACTCCTACCAAGCTGACAAATAAATTCAACATTTTTTTCAATGATTGCAAAAAATATCTCTGAGTGAATCAACTGTCATCTTTCAGTCACAGGAGCAAGCTACGTTATGGAGTACACAGCAAAGCTTCAACAGCGATTTCGTACAAAATGGAAAGCCGTACGTATTTGCGTGGATATATTCTTTATGTAGGGTTCATATACGCGAATAATCCATATATTACATTTGAAAAGCACACTCCTTTCGTCAAAAGCTTGGCTAAGTACCAAGCTTGTCAAATCTTTTGTATAATTTGCAAAAAATACGTATATGCAATAGTATGACGAAATAGTTATTTATGTAACAAGTGCCCAAAAAGCTGGGCACGTGTTGCATACAAAATTTTATCCAATAGTAGGCGAAAAATACGTTCATTTAAATGAGGCGTTTTACCGCACACCCGTGTCCAAAATGAGGCATTTTACCGCACACCAGTGTCGAAATGAGGCATTTTACCGCACACAAGTATCCAAAAACGCTTTTTGCGCGCTAAAAATGTGCGAAAAAAGACATTATTCGTCGTACTATTGCATAAAATTTTGTATTGAACACGTGCCCAGCTTTTTGCGCACAATGTGCGGGAAAAACACCAACTCGTGCCGGCATAGCCGGCACTCGTGTCTTTTTCCGCACACTCGTGCCCAAAAACGCCTTTTGGGCACTTGTTACATAAATAACTATTATGCAATAGTATGGCGAAAAATTCCTTTATAGCACTGTATGGCATAAGTTCACATTTATGGCACGCTTTTCTGTGGCATAAGTCGCACATTCTGGCACCGCTGCGTTCGCATCACACTCGCATGCGCTCGTGCGCTAACCTCACTTCGCGCTACCAGAAGTGCGACTCATGACTCGGAAAAGGGGGCATAAATGTAAACTTTGCACAGTACTATAAAATGTTGTTTGATACTCGGGCCATAGGGGACATTTTTCGGGCTAGCTGTTAGGACCCTCGCTGCGCTCGGGCCCTAAACTACGCCGTGCCAAAAAGTGTTACTTATGGCCCTTGTATCGAAAACTACTAATTTTTTCACATTTTTTAGTGCGCAAAAAACGTTTTTGGACACTGGCGTGCGGTAATATGCCTCATTTTGGACTCTGATGTGCGGTAAAATGCCTCGTTTAAAATGAAAGTATTTTTCGCTCATCATTGCATAAAATTTTGTATGCAACACGTGCCCAGCTTTTTGCGCACAGTATGCAAACTCGTGCCCAAACCCGCCTTTTGGGCACTTGTTGCATAAATAACTAAATATTATTAAGAAAGTATTAGTAGATAATTAGGAACACGATATCTTGTATACGAGTG